CCAGGACTTGAACCACGGTTGGCCATGTGAGAGTCCAGTGCCCTTGACTACCATGCCACCTGCCAGCCCCTTTTCTTTAATTTTCAAAAGTTTAACATGGGGTCAGCAAGTGGCATGGTGGTTAAGGTACTCGACTCCCACATGACTGACTGCACTTCAAGTCCTAGACCCGACAGCTTGTTTTCTCACTTTCTCTCTCTCTTTCTCTATCTCTCTGTTTCTCACTGGTCAAATTAAAAACTAATGACAATAAATGAAGGTAATAAATAATTATTTATAAACAACCACAAAAAAAGTTTTACATGATGGGGACCAGCAGGTAGCATGGTGGTTAAGGTGGCGACTCCCATATGGCCAGCTATCGTTCAAATCCCAGACCTGGTGGCTTGCTTTCTCTCTCTCTCTCTCTCTCTCTCTCTCTCTCTCTCTCTTTAGTGAGTACATGTCACCTATAGCAAGTCAACATAATAATGATAACATAAAAAGTTTAACATGATGTATTTGGGCATGGGTTCAGGGGATTATCCTATTTGGAGTTTACTTGGTACCTCAGGGGTCCCCGAGACCACGCCTACATTTGGTTATTTGCTGGAGGACTCACAGGACTCAGCATATAGCTGTACTCACAGCCATGATTTATTATAACAAAAGGACATACAGCAAAGTCAGCAAAGGGAAAAGGTGCAGGGAGCAAAGTTCAGGGGAGTTTAGTAAACAGAGCCTCAGAGAAGCAGAGCATCTATACTTTGGGGACAGTGGAGGACACCAGGCCACACTGATTCCCGTGTAAGGAAGAGGAGCTCCAGTTTCAAGGGCAACATTTACCCTCATTCACCTGCCCAAGAGGGGCTACAGTACAAAGGAAAAATAAAGAGATGCTTCTAGGAATCAAGACTCACCACTGACTGGACCTTCTTTAGCAAGGTATTTCTAGGAACCCCCAATGTAATTGGACAAAGGATGCCACCACCCATGTTATGTTTGGCCACATAAAGAAAGGTCACAGCTGCCTCAAATGATCAGTGCTCAGGCAGTGTCAAGCCTGAGGCGTGGGCATCTCAGCAAGAGCCAGAGATAGGAAATACCGATCCCTCCTTTTCTCCCTTGTCTATGTCATAAAGAATATAAAGAGCTTGAGGATCTTTAAAGGGTATGTAACACAGCCTCCTCAGAACAAACCAGGCAGGATACCGTGGCCCTCAACAGGAAACTTGCCCAAAAAGGTCCCTTAGCAAGTGATTCCTTTCTTCTCCCTCAGCAGTTGCTTACAGTGGGTGTACAGCACGTTGGCAAAGGTTACAAGGTTTGGAATCACACAGCCGAGGTTCACATTTAGACTTCACCAGTGTGCAACCTCAACCCAAGCACTTAAATTCTCCAAGCCTCCATTTATTTGTATAAAAGAAATTAAAAATTGTGAAAAAAATGGAAAAATCATGTAAAGATTTAAGGACCTAAAGAACTCTATAAATGTGAGCTGTTGTTATAATTAGCCTCATTATTTCAAATGGGGAGATGGAAAGAGACAATCTTTAGAAAGGTCACTGTGACTAAGTGGAGGATAGATCTGAGGGACAAGATAGGGTCTATATTAAGTTACTAGTGGCAGAGCAAAGAACAGGTCATGGTCTTCAGAGGTAGAATCGGGATGACTTGGTAGCAGACTGCTTGTGGGAAGTGGTGAGATAAAGTTGTCTTTGAGGAGTGTGATTTTCAGGAGTGTCTAGCTGAGGAGAAACTCCTTTTTAAGGGCCAGCCCTGGTGTATTTTTCTCACCATATGAGCTGTCAGAACTGGTGGGTATGACTGGTGGGAGTCTAAGTGGGTCCTGACACTGGGTGCATAGAGTGGCTAAGGTAGCAAATGGAATGATCACTTAAAAGCCAACGACTTCTTGACCTCTCTTCCTTGTTCCCATTATGTATATTCAGATACTTATCGATGTTCTCACTTGGATGTCAAGTACATCTCAAAATCCATGCCAGACAGAACAGTTGTATGACATGTACCCACCATTGTAGTATCACACAGATACTGCCTTTCTCCCTGCCCTGAAAATCCTCTACACTTCATCTATTCTTTCCCCTCTTGGCATAGTTCTCTAAAGTTACGTCTTTTCCAGAATGCTGTATGGTTGGAATCATACAGTATGTAGCCTTTTCACATTGGTTTCTTCCAGTTCGTAATATATACTTAATACTATCCACATCTTTCATGACTCAATAGCTTACTCTTTTTTAGTGCTATATAAGATTCCATTGTGTAGATGTACTATAGTTTATCCATTCACCTACTGATGGTCATCTTGGTTGTGTACAAGTTTGGGCCATGATGAATAAAGCTGCTATAAATAAACATGTACAGATTGCGTGAACCTAAGTTTTCAACTCTTTGGGGTAAACACAAAGGACTATGATTACTAGATGTTATAGTAAAAATGTTTATTTTTAGAAGATAACTGCCAAAGTGTCTTCAGAAGGTAGCTGTCGCATTTTAAATCTCCATTAGCAGTGAATAAAAGTTACTGTTTCTTCACATCCTTGCCAGCATTTGGTATTGTCAGTGTTTAGAGTTTTCACCATTCTATTAATAATAACTGTGCAGTGGCTATCTTGTTTTAATCATTAGTAGTAGTAGTATTTTTTGCTGATATGTAAAACATTGTAATGGTTGTAAGAGTCACAGCTATATAAAAAAGTTTACTTAGAGAAATGTTGCTCCCTCCTCATCCCTACCGCTTCCCCACCCCACCATAGATAGCCAGTCTCTCCAGTCTGACTTAACGAGCAGATATAAGTATATTTTCTTAAATGCCCTTATTACATGAAGAGTAGCATAGTTTAGATACTCTTTTGTACTTAAGAAAATTTAAAGGTCTGTTTCTCAAAACACACTATCTGGATAATGCATTTTTTTTTTATTTTTCTTTTCTTTTTTTTTTTTTTTTTTTTTTTTTAAAAGTTTTTTGCTATA